TCTCTCTGGGGTATTCTCAAAGCCACACAGAAGTATTGCCTATGCAGTAAGGTCATTCAACGTGTCAATTAAAAAATACCATTTCTTCCCCCCAGCCTCCCCCACTTTACTGCAAAATGCTGTGGAAAAGAGCAAGCAGAATTTAAAATATGTCCTTTAGGTTAGGAAAAAAACCCCAACCTCTTCAGAACCTGTATGTGTTTAATGAAAGGCGTTGATGTCACATGCAAGAGGAGCTACATAGCTTCAAGACACTATTATAGCACAAACAGAAGAGAAAATCTCTAAGGACCACTGCAAGATATTTTTGGCTGGCTTGTTTTCTGAAGGAAATGTTGTTTTGAAATACCTGACCCGGCAGTGTTATAAGATTAGATATCATATGGTAATGCCAAATGCATCATTGAATATACATGGGTTTTTATGTTACCTTTGGTGTGATGAAAAGAACAGCAGCCAATGATTTAATCTGAGAATAATTCAGCAGTATCTGGTTCACATGGGTGCTTTTGTTATCTTGGCTTCCGAGCTTGATTTTAGATTTTGTTTTAAACTACTACCTAGTCTTCACTATTATTTTGTGCATATAATTAAGCCCCCAAAAGAGGTGCAGTTAGTTAGGAAAAATTTGCCATTGAAAATTGCAATGTTTATTGTCAGCCAGTGTCCTAAATGTCGCAAAGGGAGCACTTGCCTTTCCTTAAAACCTTCTAGTTTTCCTCCTAGGTCCCACTTCCATGAGGTAGTGGACCTCTAGGTTTTGCAATGAAATGAAAGGATCTTTTTCCCAAAATAGACTGTTCACAAAAACACTTTGTGAACAATCTGAGCTTTGACTGAGTAGGTGACCTTGAAGGAACTTGCTTGGGTCTCTTTCAGTTGTGACCAGTCAGTTAAGACATATTGAATATGTATGTTAAGGCACATTCAAAGTTCTCTTGCTGCATTTTTTTTCTCTTCAGAGAAGATTTTTATAAAAGCTTTTAACATATTTTAGCTCTGTGAAGTTAGAGATATCATCTACACCACTAATTGCAATTTGTTTGCACAGTCTTCTTGTGGTAGTTTTTTTGTGATCTAGAGTTGACAAAGCTTCCAGTGAAGCTGAATGTCTCCCTGAGTTTTATCACACATGTTTTCTCTCCAGCAACTTTGGGATTTTATTTAGGGAATATTACTCACTAGATGGAGCAGGATACTGGAAGCAGGATTGTCTGCCTCTGACTTTGTTGGGACACAAGATCTTGATTTCCAAGTTTTTGAGTGATGACAGTAACTTTCTGCTTGGACACTAGGGTCAAAGTACCAGGAATTTTTTAAAAAAAACCAGCCCTTAAGGCAGCACATTCCAATTTGTTAAGTGCAATTAGTTTATGTGAATGCTACGGTTTTGAGGAAAGTGTATGCAGTAATATTTTTGTTAACTTCAGGAGGAAAGCACAACAGAAAACCACTAGAGAGATGGAATTTCTCATCCTCTGTCTCTGGTCATTATTAGTCAAGGAATTCACTTCCTGTGCGGGAGACCCCGGTTCAAACTCCTGAATTGCAACAAGCTGAACAAATATTTGAAACAGTCTACCCCACTTGTGCAAAGTACCTGTACCACGGCCACAGCTCTTTTTAGGGAGTCCCATTGTTTCATGCTGTTTTATAAAAAAACAAACCAAACCAAACCCAATCAACCTAAAAAAAAAGCAAACCACAAAACAAAAAAGGAAAAAAACCCTGACACAACAAAACTCCCCATCATTTTCCTCACTGAATTGGAAAATCTTGTTGTGTCATTTCTATCTTTGGGCTGTTAAACATGACAAATATGCCATTTTTTTTAATGCTACAGATTAAAGGAGGCGGTTGTCCCTTTAATGTAATATTATTTTATTTATTTGCGTGGCCGTATCAGTTCCAGGTAAAATTACTGATATCTTCTGGCTGTCACAAGCCATGATGCCAAAGTGCTTTATTTTTTTCGTGGCTGTGCTCCAAGGCCTTTGAAGAATGCCCATGAGGTTTAAGGGTGAGGGGTTGTCTGAGTTTCCATGCAGAAGAGCCACAGTAACACGAGACAAGCAGCTGCGAGAGGAGAAGTGCCAAAGACCCAGAACACAATCTGTGCTATGAATAAAGCAGCACAATAACAGGTTACCTCATTTCAAAGCACATGGTGACAAGTCTTGCGTGAAAGAAAAAAATTACTTACTTGTTCAGGGCACTTTTGCTTAACCTGGACTCTTCGGCTTCTTGTTGCTTGGTTTGCTCTTGGATGACCTTTTCCCAGAAGTTCTTCAGCCCTTCTGCATCCTGACCACCCATCTTGTGGTGCCTGAAGTTGGTGCGCTTGCTCATTTTCTGAAAAGCAATTTGGAGGTCAGGGCAGTCAGAAGCCTGACCTGAGGCAGGTGCTGCCTTGCTCGGCCCTCTCAAAATTTCCTTCTTGCCAAGTGCTATTAAAATAAAGTATGTCACCTAAAAGAATAGGTGACTGATGCTTACTTTGCCTTGAACCAAAATATAAGGCATTGAAACAGGCCTTGGGTGACAGTTAAATGGTACAATTATATTTTTGTTACTGAGTAATGACTACACGTGGCAGAAATCACTGAAATATTGCGAGTGCCTCAGTATATGTGATATTTTAAATGATTTTGGGATAAATGCTTTCAAATATAGTGCCATTGTCACTGAAGTTCAGATTAGATGTGAAGGGCTTTCCTTTTTTCTATCTCCTATAGTTTTAAAACAGATGGTTTTATCCAAGGGAAATGCATTGGTCTTAAATGATTCTTTTCACTGCTCCAAATGATGCCTTGCTCAAAACATGCAGAGGAATTATGAATCTAAAGTTGAAGCACACAGAGTGCAAAGCTCTGGGGAACCTCTTATAGTCTTGCTCTTTATTTTATCAAAATTCAGTCTTAAATACCACTAAAAGTAGACCTTCTTAAAATACAAGCATGAGTTCCAATAAATGAGAAAAAGGACAGAAACTAAGTGAATTTGTCCTTGCTAAATACCTGTTATTCAAACATGGAGGGTTTTAAAATTCTCATCCTCATACTCCAGAGCTCCCTATGACTAGATCAGCACTTAGTTCGAGAGTTGCCCTGAAATCCCTTTTTTTCTTGTGTTCATCTGTATTCTGCCATCATTTGATGCTTTTTCCAGCACTCCACTCTGTTCTGCTGATGAATTAATGCCTCACAGACCCTGGTATGTACTTGTGAATCTTCAGAGACAGTGTCATACTTTATGAGCTATCCTTGATAAGCACTAGAAAGACTATGCTAATGTAGGCCAATCTGAGGAAACCTTTGCTTTGTACAATGCTTTGAGTGGAAGATCAGAGGAAAAGGAAAGGATAGTCGGTGTAACGCAATTAAGGCAGACTCGTGTAAGGTCTTATTATCAAACACTCTATTATAAACTCCTGAAACCTTAAAAGGGCACATAAGTAAGTTCTTACCATCTTCCTAGATTGAATATTTTAGATTTTTTGTAGTTTTCACAAATCTGATTTTTAGAAAGATCAGCGATAACAAATAATTTTCCCAAACTTGGTGCTAAGGCTGACTGGTGTGAAAAAAGTGCCTAACAAGAAGAAAAACCTCTTCCATATGCAGCATTTTTCCACTGAGAAGTCCAGTTACTTAAAGACCAGCACAGTCCAGCTGGAGTGGTAAGTGTGAACTGGTTAGTCCATGTAGTATAATCTCCTATGTGATGGAATATCTTAAGAGGTTCAGATTCTGGTCCTGCAATGTCACCGAAACAACCAGGTGTTGTTCTCTGAGGCAAACAGGATTTTTTCTGGTGTTTTCCCTTGCTGTGGACTGGGGATGCTGTTGATGTAGCACAGTGGGATACAGGACAAATTGTTACATTGGTGTGGGTACAGCAGTTCCACTAAAAACCTTTTGCTATGCTTGCTGTGTTTATTGGTGAATACGGTCTAAATGGCAGCATGGGTAATCTTAATGGTCTTTCATCTCACTCTGAGGCCCCAAAATAATGGTGTTATTTAAGGCTTCATCTTGCAAAAAGTTGTGCATGTCACAGGTGCACTGGGACATGCCCTACCTGTGTCTGAGTTCCACAGGCTTGAAGCAGTGCTAAAATAAGTGCTCTGATAATAGCTTGTTACAGCAAGTGATGGAATCTGATTATTTCATCATTCTTAGATCAGCAGGTCACCTGGGTCTTTGCACCATTTAAAAGCTCTTCTATCAGCAGCAGCTGCCCACTTGACACTCTGCAGATAATTATCCCATTGCCTCAGAAGCCAAGTGCAAGTTGCTGACAAACTGTCTGAGTCAGTTTGCCCTCCAAACCCTATTATACTTTGCCTCATGTAAGAATCTGCCATAACACATTAACCTTCCATTAGATATTAAATTTTTACAATTATTAAACTTCTAGTAGATGTTCTTCAAGTGGTACAAAGAAGGTCTTTATCTGAGGTCTAAATTTGTTAGATTTTTGAGAGGGTGCATGAAGGTCTTGGCTGCTCCACCCAGAGGAACAAGGTGTGATCAGACAGGTGCCCAAAAGATGGAGGTACTTCAGCAAACATTGGCCTGGTATGTCTGTGGGGACTTTTTACAAGCCAAGAATCTTTGACCTGGTAATAGTTCCTAGGAATGTCAGTGAGAGTGAATATTTCACGTAGTGTTGTCATGGTCCTTGCTGAGACATATTCCTGGTGTGAAACTTTTGAATACAGCTCTGTCTGGCACGACTGACCAGCATCTCTCATGCTATCATGTTTGAAAGCATCCTTTCTTTAAGCCTGGCTTTGCAACATCCATGTGTGGAGATTAGTGCACTGTGCAACACCTTTTGATTTTATTTCTGATTGGAAGATTCTACTTAGGAGCATGGTCTGGATTTCCCAGTAATTCTCTAGGTTTGGTGGTTTTTTTGTATCAAAAAATCCCTTATTATTGCTCTACTAAACATGTTTTGTTGATGTGTGATTTTCTTCTTTCTTTTCAGATGTCCCAGTAATATAAAGTGGACTTACACTGACAGTTGGACTTAATTCTATCAAACCTGTTCTGGATTCCTTCAACCAGATACCTCAGGGTTCAGAAACTGACGGGACAGTTAGATTTTCTCTGTAAGTAAAAAACACACTTTCTTACAACCACTTGGCCATTTTTGTCTGGGTGGAAAGTGAGCAAGGTAAAGAGGTTCTTTATCATCCTTATTTTCATTTTGGGTTGCCAGGTATCATTCCAGACACATTCAAGGAAAGTTGGGGAAGTGTCTTTCTGAATTCTAATGGCAGGTGGTTTTAACATTCTTATCCACTGATATGAATGTAAAATAAGCAACAGCAACACTTCCATGCATTCAACATTATTCATTGAGAAGGTATGGACTGAAAACTTATGTTATAATACATTCTGCAGGATGTTTCCTATGAAGGGCTACTAAGATGTGCATAACAGTGGTGCAAAATAATCTTATTAAATCTTCAGCTAAGGTAGTTAAGGAAGGAACTATTTTTGTATGGGTTTTGCAGTCCTACCTGCCCATTTGAAGTGTAGTTGGTGGCTTTTTTAGGGAGTCAACAACATTTAAGGAAAGGTAAATTTAGATCTTGGTTAAGGTGGCTTATGTATTTGGTAGTTCTGCAACTCAACTGTCAAACATACGTGTATGCATTTACAAAAGAATTTTTTACAGCATTCATCATTTTGGGGACCTAATTTATATGCTAACAAGTTATTAATTTATGGAGAATGTCCACAAGAAGAAGCAATTAAAGAAAAAAATTAATGGCACCATGAAAGAAAAATCTCCTACATTTAGAAGCAAACCATAAATCATGTGGCAGTGCAGCAATCTGTAAAACAGCCAATCAGTCGTGAATCAAATATAACATCTACAGACAGTACACTAGTTTAAACTCTTTGAGCTTCTGTCTCAGAGCACGTGGGAATGAGGATCAAAATACGAACGGTGAGCAGATCTCTCCAGTGCAAGGGAGAGGAAATTCTAAAATTTTGCTTCAAGCTGTAAATTATCACATGCACAACTTTTATTAATTGGCAAAACACTAGTATAGAAATAGCCAGGGGTACAATCATCTCTCGTTGAATCTGATCTGCAATATGAATGTGCTTTGTTAAATTAGTAAATTTCCAAATATTCTGGTCTCAGCCCCTACCTGGTCTGCGTATTTTGAATTATTGTAATCTCAGACAACCTCCATTGAGGTACAAAAAGGACTTTTAAAAAATATCCAATGCAAGTCATTTTTCTTCTGCACACTTTGTAATTCCTATTTCGGACTCTTTCTGGAGGAATTTCGAGAATCAGAAATGGCTCTTGATGTTTGGAATAGAATTGCTGTTTTTAGTTACCTTTATATATGAGTTAAGCAAGCAAAGGAAGAAAGTCTTTTCCAAAGCCTCAGAAAGCATTTTTTTACCCTTTTTCAGTCTTTTTATTTAATATGTGTCTTAAGATAGCCATTGTCTTAAAAACTCACGATGAGATTCTCTGAAAACCTTTTTCCTTTTAGTGAAATTCAGTACATTTACTTTTTAATGCATCCAGTAAACCTGTTAACCAAACAGAGTTTGGAGAACATGTCAAAATATTTTTTAATCTAAATCATGCATAACTGATAAGATTTTTCTTTTTGGCCAATAAAAACAAAACAACCTTATGCTTTTCGTCTTACTGGAAAACATTTTAACCAGCAACATGAAGTAATGTTTGAACATTTCCAAGGTTTATTTTCAAAATCTTTTGAAAGAGAAAGACTTTTTACTATTTTCAAATTGTTTTGAAAGGCAAATAGTTTAACAAGAATGATTATTTTTTTTTTTAACATCTTAAAAAATATTTCTTTTCTAAAAGGTTGAGTGAAATAGGTCTACTTTTACCTCTTGCAATGGATTTGAGTATTCAGCCAATTTTAATGTGTAGTGCAACCATGTTGCTGAAAGAATTTCCTCCATCACTTCAGAGGTTTTTGAAGATCATTGTAAACAATGGAAAGATTATCTTTGACTTCAACTAGACTCAGTCCCTTGGGTCATATCATGACCATGAGCTATCTTATCTTTGTCAGAACACTAATTAATGTCCTATTCCTTTTACCCTTCACCAGGGCTTGTTTGCCTAAGCATAGAATGTTTTCCAGCATTACATAAATATTACAGTACACTGCATGAGTTCAAAGCATTTGAAAAAAAAGATAAGAAGCTTAATGTTCTAAAAAGTTTTAAACTGCACTCGTAGAATGCATGGTTTGGATGAGTATCCCCTTACATATTCCTTTTATGGTGGTTTTCTTTCCCCTGAATTATGTGTAATACAGAAGTTCTAGTAATACCAAAAAAGATAGTAACAAATAACAGGTTAATAACTGAAGTTATGGTTAGAGTAAAAGAGGCAGGATACCTCTTACATTTTATAAATCACACAGGATCAGATTATTTTCCACAAAATTATATTGTAATATACAGAATTCAAGGTCATGGAGGGAACAAGAAGAAAACTTTGTTCAAATTCATGACTAAACAAAGTATAAAATAAATGTATATCCGTGTATTTCTAGGCATGTTTGATAGTTAAGACAGGAAGAGAAAATCTTATTTTGGCCAAAATACAAGAATATAAATGCTTACTTTGATTGTATAGTAGCTTCCTCTTCTGTCAAAGTATGGTTTTCTTGAGTGATTACTGAATCATGGCAGTTTTACCTCTGGGTTCCCCTTTTCAAGAGAACTCCAACTGCCAGGAATAACTGATGAAATCTGCTCACCCGTCACTCATTTTTATTTGTGAGTGATGACATCTGCTATTATGGGTTAGTTTAATGGCAGGGGAAAAAAATCCCCAAACCCACAGTCCCATTTTGCGAAGTCCGTGATGCACCGAGCGGAATGACCAGAGAGTTACAGGGCACAAACTCTGGATGCCACATTTAATCTGTGCTATAAATTTTGGCAAGTGCCACTGATGTCATAACTTGGCTCTGGAGGAACAACTTACTCTTTGACAAGCCCAGATCACTGGGGCATAACATCCATAGGACTCGCAGGAATTCAGTGCCGTCTGCTCCAAGAGAAAGGATGGATCTGAAAAGAACATGTTGGATAACACAGCTCGTCTCAGGATTGTGCCACTGTGTGACTGGTAGATAAATAGATTTCCTTTTCACCCCTTTTGAAGTGCTGGTCTGTAAGAGCACCTGGTGGGCCACAGGACAGGATTCCAGCTAAGCTGTTAATACACTGAATAGTGCAGGAGTCTGAACGTAGCGAGCTGCGAGTTGAAAAACAGCATATATATAATTTGTTATAGAATTTAGCACTCCCACTTCTTGGACAGATTCTTCCTCCCTGCACTGGTAGCCCTGGGTGAACAGGAAAACACAGGCAAGTAACGTGCTGCTTACTCAGAGGAAGAGCAGACAGTGACAGACCTCCTGCTCTCAGCTGTTGTTGGCAACCTGACTGCATAACCCTTCCAACAGTTTGGCAAGTTCCATCTTGAAATTAATTATGTTTCTTACTCCTGATATTTCAAGTGAAAGGTTGCTCCAGAATTTTCTGTGCCAAGTACTGTAAATTTGCTTTTAATTTACAACCTGAATGTGTTCAAGAGACAAGTTACCTTTCCCTTGGTTCCAGGATAGGTAAGGCAGAAATCACCTCCTCTCCTTCCTTGTTTTGTTGTTAGATCATTGGAGGACTTTGGACTTTTCTCATACTCATTCTCTTGATAGCTCTCATGGCCCTCTCTGTGGTCTCACTGAACATGGACAATGGGACCTGTACATCACATTCCAGCTGAGTATTAGTCCCTTATATGCATCCCTTTTTTGTTTGGATATAATAATCTGAATCTAGAGAAATATTTATCTCTTCCAGAGAAGTACAATGTTCGTAACAACTTTATAATTGACTCATGCACCCACCTAGATCTCCTCTTTTTTTTTCCCAACTTATAAGTTCCAACTTATGCTGGAATTTTTAACTAGATCCTAAGTTCACAACCTTTTGGTTGTGAAGTGGCCTTTTGTGCCACTTTCTCTATATCAGTCCTTCAGATCACTTGCTTCTTGTGCCTTTGAAATTCAGCCCCCTCTGCTTATGACAACTTTTGTGTCCTCCAGAAAATGTCTCTAACTCACCACTTCATTTTGTGCCAAATGCTACCGCTTGAAACAGTAGTAAGACTGTTTCTGAGAGAGGTCTGGATGAATTCCCTTTTTTAAATTTCTTGCAGTTAAGGAGCTTTCACTTAAATATATTAGCCGAATTTAATCACTTCTGAGTTTAAATGGATAACCCTTGGTGAGACCATCAGAGATAAAATCTGGTTCCTCTGTAGGGAAGAGGGGAAGACAGTAAACAAGAGGCAGTGAAGTGCACCTTATCTCTTACCATACAGAGTAACAGGTTATTTATTGTCTGCTGGATGTTGTTGGTACGTGCCAAAAAGGAAGAGAGAGGGAATTGTAATGTGTCATCAAGCGTCCCTACAGAGTCCATGGTTAGTTTAGATGAACAGCAAAATCAGTTTTTCCACTAATCATTCAGTAAGACACTCAGCACCTCTACTGGCAATGGAAGGTAGCCATGAAATATAACGTGAGGTTGGCAATTCACTGTTCCAGGACAGGCTGCTCTGACTGAGAGCTGATCCTGCACACCAGATAAATGCCCAAGTTGTTGCTGATGGTCTCAGACTCTCACAGCTTCTCTTCTTGGAGCTGCTCTGCTTCATATAAATAATGCAAAACCCTGGGCTTGAGAGGCAGCGCCGACAACGTGCTTGTTTGATCTTCTGCATGTCTCAGAGATGGATTTTCCTCTTTCCCAGGTTATATGTTGCCTCACATTTTGGTCACTAGGTATTCTAAGGTGTGTTTTTCCACGGCAAGTGAGTTACTTGGAATTTCCCTTGTAAAATCTGAATTTCACCACGGCCCAGATGCAAAACAGACCTTGAAAAGCTGCCCATGTTCTTGTGTTGAAACTGCCCAAATTCAGTGTTTCTGATGACTCACACACAGTTCCACTGCATAATGTCAGCAGTGCCCAGTGGGAAGAAAGCATAAGGAGCATTGGACAGAGGACAGAGAAATAATCAGAGCTCTTTGGTCTCTGTAAATAAAGCGACTGAGACTTGGGAAGCAAGACTGATCACTGTAGTATCAGTCTGATACTGCATAGAGATAACAGAATAGTCCACCACTGGTAGTACAGAGTCAATTGCAACAATTTATGTGACTTTAGAAGTAGCACAGATTTTCTCTATAGACTTGCCAGACAAATCAATATTTTGAGTAAATTATTTCAACTTTATAAAGCACGTAGATACCACTGTACATTTGGAGTTTTACAGCCCAGCTTGACAGTTTCATCTAAGATTGGACAAGTCTATGCTGTACCTCTCTCAGTAAGGCTCTGACAGTTGCTTTTGCTCCTTTGTTATGATTTGGATCTGTTAATAGCTCTCAGGTAGTGTTGTCTTGCTCTGCCATAAGCTTTGGTATAACTGACTGTGTTTTGGATGTTGTATTGCAGTAATTCATTTTTGTTACCCTTTCATCATCACCTTGTATTTTTTTGCTAGTTGGTGCAGATATCATCACTTACACAGAGATTTTTTTTGCTTTATGTGATGCAGGATGTGGCTGTGAATCTCGGTGCTTATAAGAGTGTATTTTGGAGTGTTTCCTCACTGCATTTACTGCCAGGACCTTCAGAGTCCAGTCTCAGCTGGGACCCACACCTTTGTCCAAGTACCCTGTTTCAGCCCAGGTGTCTGTTCCTGAGCTCTGGCCAACAAATTCACATGCCCAGCCCTGCCTCTCACCTTGTTCCTGGACAGATCGCAGCCCTACATGACAGAGCAGGTATCTGGTGGAACAGCACAATAGATAATTTGTCTCCAGGTCTGTCTCCTGGATGTGTTCTGGACCTGTTCTGTGCCCTTGGCATTCCTGGGGTTGTTGATGGGTGCTGTTACCAGCATCTGATGTAGGACCCTGATGGACCTGAGATCCCACAGCAGGATGGCTATTTCTTGGCTAAGGCACTGCCTGTGCTGTGCTCACACTTGGTTTCTGAACCATTTCTCTGTCATGGGGCAACCTGGCTTTTGTTTCTACCTAACAATTACCATGGCTTCAACTCCATGGGTGACAGCAATATAGGTATGTCAAAGACAATGGAATACCATCACTAAAGCCAGGAATGAGCATGGCACAGAAGACTGCCTCACCTACAGCTAGGCTCTCACTGATTTCTGCGGAATTTTGGGGAAAAAATGCTCAAAAATAAGAGTTTTGGCAGTACTATATGCTACCTTGTTGATGCAGAGTCTGTGCTACTAATAGCCACAGGCAGACATTGAAGTGTCTGCTACACTGAGAAACCATGATCCCACTTCCCATGGTTGTGTGGGTGTCTAGGGTGCACTGACATGAGTGGTTCAGAACAGTTTTGCTTTAACTGAATGACTGAAGGAATTCCTTATTACTGTCATACACATCAAGGTGGAGGACAGCTGGACACAAAACACTGCCCTAGCAGTATGTATGTTCAGATACTGCAATTGTTGAGGTACATTTATCTAAACCAGGTGTCTAAAAACAGATTCCCTAAAGCCAAGCAAATTTCCTTGTACTGTCTGAGCTCACAACAAGAACACATGGATTGTGTTGCCATGTGAAAAGGTTGTCAGAGAGGGGAGAACTTGAAGTCAGCATCTGGAGATTAGCTCCATGGCTGATTTGATGCAGATGAGCAACACATGATACCACAGGGCATGGAGGTACCAGTTACCCTTCCTATTGTAACCTGACAACAACTCTTGGCAAAGTGTTGCCAGTCAAACTGTGACTGGAAAACAATAATTGATGGAATGATCCAGGGACTACTTGAATAATCATAAGTGTCTCTGCCTTAAATTATTTCTAAGTTATTTCTAATTGCACAAAAGTTTTATAGTGAATTTTACACAGCTGGACTTTTCTTGCTATGTTGATGCTGTTAGTGGGATACTTGTTTGCATTAGGTAACCAAAATTTATCCTTCACTGAAAGGAACTAATTTTTAAAGTCCATTGAAGATTTCAGTGGACACTTAACTGCAGTGAACTCTGTGTAGTCTAAAAGGCTGGTTCCTGGTCTTCACTGGCACTGAGCTGCTGCCAGCTTGCAGGGCCTGCAGTACCTGCTGTAGGCTCCCTCATGAAAGGGCTGTGTTCTTACTGCAGGGTGCATGAAACAGGACAATGTGGAAGGTGATGCTGAAGTGTAGATGGTACTGCAGTCTTTGTAGGGTCTGCGAAAGTGTTCTTACTGTCTCAGCATTCTAGCTTTGCCACTCAGCAAATGCAGCCACCAACTACTTACTCAGGACGTTTCTTCTCTGCAGTGTTCACTTGCTGAATCTTGTCTCGTTTCTTTTCTCCCATGCTTTCACCTTGCTGTGTGGATGTGTCTTTAGTTGTCTGGCTTTGGCCAGAAGGGTCGAGGTTCCCCAGGTTTGAAAATCAGGCTGATGAATGTTTTCCCTGCAACTAGAGATATAAACAGCCCACAGGATTTAAGGGTAAAAGAAAGACATTTTCAGCAAAAGTTTAGAAACAGAAGCAGTCCAGAATGGAAGACAACACAGGGGCCTCATGCAAGGGAAGTTAGAGGGTCCAGAGAGGAGTGGAAAGGATGTAGTACCATAAAATAAATATTTGTGAAAAGAATAATCAAAATTTGGCATGAGCAGACATTGGGGGACCGACACAAAATCTACCAGTGCAGAATTAACCTGTCAAAACCTTTTGAACTAATCTGATTTTTCAATCTGAGTTTACAGCTGGTCAACACTGCACTGTGGAATTGTATTACTAGAACTGAAAAAATCACTTCACTATTATAAGGAAAAGGGGCTTGGAAATGCTTGCCTAAGAAGCCGTATCAGGGTACCAAATTTGTTCAAAATACATTCTTAATAGCTTAATCACTCTCCAAAGTAGAGAAGTAGATTATTATACCCATAAGATCTGGAAAAATAGCCAGTGTACTTCAGCTGACAGTGAGAAAGGAATTGTATAAGAACTGCAAGTTGATGTTTTACTCATATTAATATGTTCAAATCTACTAATTACCTTGTGACTTGCTAAGGAAGTTGTGCAGCATTTTCTTTGTATTTTGAATTAATTAATTCATCAACCAAAAAAACCCATTTCTGTTAGTTCACTCTGCAAATTTTTAATGTTCTGATAACAATTTAAGAAATCAATTTATGTATACAAACATTTAAATTTTAAGTACTTTCTAATAAATGAGTGAACTATTCCCAACTCCATGTTACTTATTATGCTGAGCCATTCCTTTGAATTGATCCTTTAATAATCACATCCTACCTACATCATCAGGGCACCAAGGTGTTCAGGACACAAACCAACTTTTACATCAGAGAGTTCAGCAAAATCAGTCCTTAGTCCTAATAGGCTGCTTAGTCCTTGATAGTGGAACGTAATCCAAATAAGCAATACTTCTGTTCAAAACCTTTGTTTCCTTTTAATAGTACTTAAATATTAACCTGTTTCTGAATCTTTGACTGTTGTCCAGGAATATCTAAGGTTTGAATACAAAGACAAATTACCCATGATTTCTGGTAACTTTTTCTACTTTGGACCTAGGACCAAAACCCCTTTGTCTCAGACATTTTAAGTTAGACTGGGCAAAGTACCTGCAAGTGCTCTGAGAAATCAGAGTAAAATGGCACAGAAATGTATTAAATTACCTCATTAGTCTTTCCCATTTATTATTTTTAGGGTTCAATATCCCTATATTTACATGTTGGTAATTTTTTTTTTAATTTTTGTTTTAATTTAATGACAGATAGGCTAAAATGAGGGAGAAAAAAAAATTCTTTCCATAAGGCATAAAACTCAATAATGGAAGGATCAGCAGCTCAGTTTTTTTACTGTGTTCAGTATTTCACAATTAGGCAGGTGTAATACGCATTTTTTAAAAAACATTTTTGTTCTTTAGTCTTGGTACAAGATTTGAATAGGGAAATCTCTGACCTGAGACAATGAGTCTGGCAGCGGTAAGACCAAATATTTAAAAACGGACACAGGCAATGTTGAAATTTCTGATGGAAACAAAGCTCATTTTCTGGCCATTTATAAGGGACAGGAACCCCTTCTTTCTCTATGGCAGGACCAGAGGGAGGCATGTCACAGTGGGGATTCTTACTTTCTAAATAATCAGCAGATATCTTGAGTTAAAAAGCATTTCGTCCCAGCCATAATTTACTTTAGAGCAGAACTTAACTCCAGGAATCTGGAGGAAATTTTAATAAGTAACAAGTATTTTTTTTAAAATGAGAAAAACATCACCTGAAGGTGGCAGAAATAAAACTACTCACAAACATTTACAAAGAGCAAAGATCCACCACGGTGACAGATGTTTCTAGGTGGAGGAAAGGATATGGGTAACTTTGCTACACTGGGTTTTGTGCACAGTGAGCACTAAAGACAGTGAACACCCAGTTACTGAAGTGTCTTTAATTTAAATTAAGTGATAGCCAAAAGGCTGATAATAAAGATGAAATCAGTTATGTTGCAGTTGGGCATGTTTTCCAAAAGGTACAGTTGATATCTATCAAAATATATAAGTGTTACCACCCACTGCTTCTCTTTCAAGGCACAAATTGCTAGTGAGAAATTATGTCTTCATGAGCACAGGACAGATGATTTGGAAAAGCAAGGGGGTTTTTGAGAAATAAAATATTTTGCTAAGTATAGCAAAGACTGAACTGAGAGCAACCCTAGATGTTCTAACACAGAAGGAATGAAAATCTCCAAAGAAGTCCCCCGAAGGCTCAGGCTCGAGGGATATTGGAATTTTCACAAAGTAAGAACAGAAAATCCTGACTGCAATATTTAAATCTGCTGCCTAAAAAAATAAAAGACACTAACTAATATCACAGAAACTGAAATGGAGGAACTGTGACCTGAAAGGTGAAAAAAGGACTTTTCTCTTTTTCTTCTTGGACTCTTGTTGAAGAAAAAAACAGAAATTTAATCTAATGTAAACATATTATTTCATTGTAGAAGTGATAGCTGAGTTGTTACCTATGTGTATATGTATGTAAATAAACCTTGTATTTTCCCCTTCCCCCAATGCTGAGTAGTTGTGTTTTGTCTGAAAACCCTCTCGCACTGGGGCAAACTAGGGGGGGGGCTTGAACTCGGAAACTGGATTTCTGAGGGTTTCAAACCACCACACTATGGCTATTTTATAACATCTGTTACCTTACATTTTCACTGAGATCTTAAAAAAAAAGATTCAACAAAAGAGGGAAAATTATTTTTTTTTTTTAAGAGGTCTTTCAGAAAATATATTTCCCACGAACAGAAAGTCATTCTAACTTTTGGTTCTTTTCTTCCTTCATCTCACTTTTAGTCCTTTCCTACATCTTTGGAATATGCTATGAATGCAAAGCTGCAGGTAGGGATGCGAACTTGTCATTTGCAAACTGTCCTAGAAAGGAAAGGCTCCGAGTATATTGGAAAGCACAGTTAGAAAAAAACAAACAAAAAAAAATCAAAGGAAATTAAATTAATAGCTATACTGCTGGGAAAGAGGAAAATAAAACCACACATTCTAATAATTTAGTTCTGGTTTTTTCGGTTAAGAAATATATTTGTGTTGAGATGTTACATCCAGGTTAATTTAAAATTAGACTGAGTATGGTTATGTTCTGTCCAGCCTACTTTAAATGCAGTAATTGTTCTTTATAATCAAGCCATTAGAATGACATTAAAATGTAATCCTCAGAAGCAACACAGTCATTTATCAAAAATTGGGGGTGTCTGCTTGACATTTTAATTTGCAAGCTTTTTATTATTAGTTTGGTCTCTCAGTTATTAATTTGTTGAAAAACATGTCACTTTTCATGTCTCATATAAGCAAATGCAAGAAAAGGGGTCAAATTTTAATCTTCATGAAACTGCCATAAATCAAAGATAATTATACTAAGCCAGTGAAAAGTTACCCTGGTGTATGACAGAGAGACATCTTCTCTCATATCTAAGCAGACATAAATGAAAGTTTTCTTTAAACTTATGTTATGTAGAAAAGACATGAATTTTTTTTACAGTAAAAAAATGTTTTTTACAGTAAAAAAATTGTTTCTTCAGCAGCAAAATACAGAACATCACACAATTTCTCAGCTGTTGTGTTTCTTTCAGTCAAGCTGTGCCTTGAAGTGTTTCCTGCAAGGACTTGGGTGTCGGTTCCTGAAGCCTGTAAATGAGGAAATTTTGACCTTCCTCTCCCATTAAAAAAGCAAAATATTTGTGCTTGTTTTATCAGCTGGTAGGTATAGCACATTTTATTTTATAGCACATACACTTATTAAAAAATAGTAATTTTGAGTTTTAGCTGAGAAGATTTGGCATTGACATAACTCTTGTTGTCGTTTTATTCCACTGTTATGACTGTGATTACCAGGCTGCTTAATAATTTGCAACCTGTATGTGAACAAATTCACCAAAACCCTCTCACTAAATTGCCAGGGTTGAAAGAATGTTGAGCACATACAGCCAGCTGACCTGGAAGGTACATCAAGTCAAAACTTGCCCTTTACATTCACAACTCAGGCAATAAAGCTAAAAAAAGAGCTAAGCCAACACTGTTGAGGTGATATCAGAAGACATTTTTTTCCCAAAATTTAGAAAGCAAGAGCGACACATCAGCAGTGAAAGTGGGAAGAATGCTCTGCTTACATACAGAGCTTTTTGTTTGCAGATCTTGCAGCATTTTAATTGGAATATAAGTGTTAATGTTTTTATTTTATAGAGGGGAAGAACGAGACTTTGAGTAGTAAAGTGATTTGTTCAAAGCAGCTCTGTGGAATCCACTAATTAATTAACTGCAGTGAACCTGCCCTACACTTGCACTGGGACGAGAGAGAAATTTTTGTTGAGTTACTCACTTCCCTCATATCTTCTTTTTCATCTTAATGTGCTTTCTTTGAGCCACTCTCGGGCATGAACAAACACAGGGGTAAAATCTGTTGTGATGTTTCTAACACAGGAAAAATCAGGAAGCATCAGAAATCTTTAACACTCTGCTTTTGCCATGGAAGCTCAGTAACCCTGTAAATGGGGCTAATGTGCCTGTGTATTAGTGAGTAATAACTTTTTAATGTTGCTCAGCCTACTATTTTCTGAATTGCCGTAATTAGATGTTGATAATCTGTTTTAGAGAGAACAAAACCCCAAGGCCTTTCAGCAAAATATTTGACTGTCTTCACTACATTTAATGTGCATTTTGGAAAATGGCAGTATGTATTACAAGAGCAAGTTTATTCTGCTCTACCAACAAAAATCAGGGCATTGAAGAACAGATATAATATTATCACTCTATATCTTCTACAGTCACACCATAAGAAGTTACTGGCTTCTTCTATGTTTTTTATTCATTGTGTTCTCACATTTGTACTCACCTTTTTATTGCTCTCCTTTATTTCCAGGCAATCTTAATGATCTTAGTTCGAATAACTCAGACATTCACTTAACCTGTTAAAAATCCCTGATGGTACCTGACTTAGTTCCAGACAAAATCTGCACATTTTGTACTTCTTTTGTGACAGGTTTGTTGTCTGTTATCCTGCCCACAAGTCTACAATTAATCTTGTCTACAAAACTTTGGTCTTGTTTGGGTTTTTCTTTCTCTTGATTGTTTTTTTTTTTTTTTTTTTGTAAATTATCTCTACCAGACTTCTCCTGTTCAAACAAGGGCATCTTAAAAAAACAGCCCTAAATGTTTAGAACTTGGTGGATCCAACAACATATTTTATAATAATTGAAATTCATTATTCAATCCAGATTCCATGCTTGGTAGTATGTGAACATATCAATGAATTTGGTATGAATATTTTATAAAATGGGAAACTATCTCTTGTGGGTTTCCTGGACCAGTCCAAATCCTGCATCACTCCCCACCACAGGCAGGAGATACTCATCCTTCTTTTATTTCTTTAGAAGAGGAGTTTCCAGGGTTTTGAAACACAGTTAGAAAGCTATACATGCTGGAAGGTATCTAAACAGTGGGGATAGAAGAGAATGGGACACAGAGATGGAAGAAAACAAAACTATGAAAGCGGAAAAAGTGAAGTGAGCGTTTTATTTATATACCCTG